TTATTATTTTATTCATTTGTTGCAAAGATGAGAAACCTTATTTGGAATATCAATGGAACATTCAGATTTAATTTATAGGAAGTTCTTCAAGTGTGTACTTTAAAATGTTCTCTACTTACAATTTGAGTCTTCACAAGATTATTGTGTTGCAAGAAGTCATAGGTGACAATGCTAGATTCCAAAAACTACACATTCTTGAGAAACCTAACACTAATTTGTGATTTTTTTTTCCCACTTTGCTTTGTGCAGCTGGAAAATTAGGCTGCGTTTTTTTAAAGGAATGAATAAATCTTGGCAATTGAGGGAGCTTAGTAACATGTGGCTCACATGCCATCATTTGTGACTTGCACAGCCTTGCCTCAAATAACTGCTTTATTAGCTTCCATTGTCATGAATGAAGATTTTTTTCCCCATCAATAGAGGAAAGGCTTTCATTGCCAGATTTAGACGATGTTATGATCAATATTACATAGCCATAAAAATTAAAAGATAGGAAGAAAATGTGGTGCAGTATGTTTGAGAGTCTTAACCTAATAGAAACAGTCATAAAACTCCTATAAAGAGACTTCAGAAACTTGAAATTTTTCACACTATCCAAACACATGGAACATGTAAATGTATAGAATGTGGATAGTAGCTGAAAGGGAATTATTTCAGATATGTGACTCTGTTTGTGGGAGTTTGTGAGTCAAAATAAAAATGAAAATGAATGGAATTACACTTAATTAGAGGAAAAGAGATATGTGAAGAGTGTTGAGTGTGTTGGGGAAACGCCTGGACACGGAAGAATGTCTTGAGTATTTTGTGTGTGTGTATAGTCAACTTTTTAGTGAATGACAACTGAAGTTGTAGCAGAGAAACTGACAAAGTGTTGTGGAATTTAGAATTTGGAGCTGATACAATACTTATAAAGCTATGACCCATGTGGTCCTGTTCCTAAGCAGTGTCACATTTACAAAAACACAGATCCATTTCATTAAAAAATATTTTCCCAAATCCAATCCCATAAAGTCATACATGATTAAAACATAGAATTTGGATGAAAAGTCAATATCAAAAATTATCCTTTATTTTAATTTTTCACCCTTGAGAAATCTTAGATTAGATTTATGACTCTTTATAAAATCAAATCAGAAGAATAAATATTTATTAAGGACGTATGATGTGCCAGGCTTTGCCTTAGGTCCTATGGGAGGAACAAAGAAGGTTCCTGGCTTCTTAAAATCTTGTAGAGGAAAATTGTTGAAATTCAAAGTTTAAATAACATCATAAGGATAAGTAATACTTTAAGATAACAGTGGAAAAGAACATACAAGGGCAATATCAATACAAGTCAGACATTAAAATTCCTTTGGATATCAGTAATTCAGTTATTTGACTAAAGAACAGGAATTTTTAAAAATGGTTCAGGAGATAAGCCTAGAAAGATAAACTGGGTTAAAATTATGTACTTAAATGCCACGCTAAGATTTTAGAAGTTGATTTTATAGGGAAACCATTGAAAATTTTAATTCTATACTTAAGTGCAGAAATGACAAAATCAGAGCAGCATGTTGGGGAGATGAATAGCTCAGTGATATGTGGACTGGACAGAGAAACTTCAGACACTGAGAGGGACTAAAAGGCTATTTCCCTTTTTCCGATTGTTTAGGTCACTCTAAAGTGGCCAAGATAGACCTCCCACCATGCAAAATTTGATTTGGCTGTCTAGACTGAAGATGCCACACACACACACTAAGAGGGTATGAAAAGTTTACTATTCACATAATGAGGCTTTCTAGGGAGGGCAAGACAAACTACCAAGCAGGTCCACAAGTGGCTTAGGAGTACAGAGAGGAGTGACCCCTTGGATTTTTATGGTGGTCAGAGTATAAACCTGGAGTGAGTATTCCCTCCTATGTGCTGAGACTTGCATGGTTTGAACTTCCTGCTGGTGCCAAAGGAGGAAACACCCAGACTTTCTTATCAGCTTGTCCAGACATGGAGCTGAAAGAGAAGGGGAATGATGTAGCTTCAAAGCTGTCAGCAATCAGAAATCAAAAATGGGGTCAGACTCTTTATTACAGACACATAGAGTGGTAAGAGTGATAAAGTGTTGAATGAGGGCACCATGTTGATATTATAAATGAACTATAAGCCCCCACCAGATAGAACCTGCATTATGGAGGCAAATCTCTTGGAGAATGGATTTTAATAAGCCTGTGGTTATATAATATTCAATTTACTGGCTCACCGAGGGCATTTGGAAAGTCAAGAAAGTCTCTGGGGCTTGGAAATAAATATCCCAGCAACCCTTGACCTTTTGTTCATTGCATTTAAAAAAAATCTAACATATTGTTTATGCTTTGGAAAAAGATTTTTTAAAAGATGCAAAGCTAAATGGAAATTTTGTGCATCTGAGATCAGAACTGTAGATTCTACTGTTCAATAAATCAGTCAATTTTGGTTTGAGTGCCAGTTACATGTTGTCAATATGTTTGTGCAATAAAAATCATCTAGGAAACTTGTTTAAAATGTCCATTACTGCCCTCAACCCCAGGATTCTGGATGAAAGATCTTGGGTGGATCTCAAGAATGTGCCTCATGACAAATGTCTCTGATACAGGGGTTGACATGCCTCACTTGAGAAACATTGCTTCACTTTGTGCCCAGTGCCGCACCAGATATTGCCAAAGCTTTAGGAAAAGTCTAAAACAGTCCCAATCTATGACAAGTTGACTACTTTGCTGGCTCTTTCCTTGCCTAACTCATCTTTTAACTTCTGGACTTACAAGGTTTGTAAAAGCAAAAATAAAATTCAAAACAGCAATTCTGTTTAGTTACAGTTCAGGATTTAGCAGTGTTTGAGTGCTTACTATGACAAAGAGCTTTCTATGCTTTTTCTAATTTCACTTTCACAAAGTCAACTAATTACCACATTTTAGTGTAGAAAATTGAGGCTCAGTAAGATTAAGCAACTAGCCTAAGAAATACAGCCACAGTGGTAAAGTCAGGTTTCAAACCTAGTTTTGTCTAAATCAAACTTATATTATGAACCATGACATCCCTACTATAGGATCCTGTTGCTAGCTTTGTAGCCTCACTTGAATGATGATGGGGATATCCTGGCACTCAGGGAAGAACTAGGCAGCTGCCCATTAGTTTTCTCTTATACTGATGGTGGAATAACAAATGTTGGTCTGACGTCGGACTAGCAGCTTCCTCATTGGCTGACATCTCCGCCTTCCCGTGGGCTTCTGGAAGACCTGAGGTTTTAGGTGGCTTCCCTGTAAACATGGTTTATCTGGTTTAGAATAACACTTCTAGGACCAGGCATTTTTAAGAGAATATGAGGATCTAGAGTGGCAGAAGGAGAGTGAGTAGGGGAAAGGAGATATGACTTGGGGCTAGAGGGAATGTATGGCCCAGATCATACAGGACTTTTGGGCTCATGGTCAGAAATTTAGTTTTTATTATCAGTAGAGTGAGAAACAAATGAAGTATTTTAGACAGGGGAGTTAGTGGTCTCATTTTATATCTTTTTTTTTTTTAATTTGTTTTCAGCATAACAGTATTCATTGTTTTTGCACCACACCCAGTGCTCCATGCAATCCGTGCCCTCTCTAATGCCCACCACCTGGTTCCCCCAACCTCCCACCCCTCGCCCCTTCAAACCCCTCAGATTGTTTTTCAGAGTCCATAGTCTCTCATGGTTCACCTCCCCTTCCAATTTCCCCCAACTCCCTTCTCCTCTCTAACTCCCCTTGTCCTCCATGCTATTTGTTATGCTCCACAAATAAGTGAAACTATATGATAATTGACTCTCTCTGCTTGATTTATTTCACTCAACATAATCTCTTTCAGTCCCGTCCATGTTGCTACAAAAGTTGGGTATTCATCCTTTCTGATGGAGGCATAATACTCCATAGTGTATATGGACCACATCTTCCTTATCCATTCGTCCGTTGAAGGGCATCTTGGTTCTTTCCACAGTTTGGCGACCATGGCCATTGCTGCTATAAACATTGGGGTACAGATGGCCCTTCTTTTCACTACATCTGTATCTTTGGGGTAAATACCCAGTAGTGCAATGGCAGGGTCATAGGGAAGCTCTATTTTTAATTTCCTGAGGAATCTCCACACTGTTCTCCAAAGTGGCTGCACCAACTTGCATTCCCACCAACAGTGTAGGAGGGTTCCCCTTTCTCTACATCCCCTCCAACACATGTTGTTTCCTGTCTTGCTAATTTTGGCCATTCTAACTGGTGTAAGGTGATATCCTTTATATCTTCTTAAAAAATATTTTATTCATTTATTTGAGAAAGAGTGAGAGATGGTGGGGAGGGGCAGAGGTAGAGGGAGAAACAGGCTCTCCACTAAGCAGGGAGTCCCTGACTGGGGGCTCCATCCCAGGATGCTGGGATCATGACTATAGCCTAAGCTGAAGGCAGAGGCTTAACTGACTAAGCCATCCAGGATCCCCTCTCATTTTACATCTTAAAAATAGCCTTTTGGTGACTATGTGAAGAGTGGGTGAGAGGAAACAGAATTGAAGAGGGGAGATTAGCAAAAAAACTCCATTTGCCCAAAATCATTAGGAATCCAGTGGGTGATGAGGATTTTTGTAGAGGGAGTGGGGGAGGGTAAAAGAAGATGGATTATGGGCATGTCCAGAAGACTGTTTCTAATTAAATATTCCAGTAAACATTTTTCTTCTCTCACATCTCACTCCTTGATCTTGGTTGCCTCTCTTCCTCCTTGATGCTTAGCTTTTTTGTCTCCTGCCTATACTTTCCTGAATATTCATCCACCTTTCTCCCTCTGTGTCTATCTTCACCCCCTTCTTGTGCAGAGCAGTTTCACTCCTGCCCTGCTATTGGCTGTCAAGTGACAACCTGTGCAACTGGTTTAGTGGGCAGGCTGGATGCTAGGGTATAATCCAGAAATCACTTTTGCTCCTCTTGCCACTCTTTTCAAATGCTGTGGTGTCTCCTTCCTTTCCCCCTTGATGACAACCACAGATTCCAAACAAAGGATTGAGATGGGATTCTCTCAGTGATGGTGCAGATCTGCCAAGACTAATGAAAAAGCATGATGTGGAAAGAGAGACCAAGGTAAAGTCCACTGAAAGTCACTCAGAAATAAGGGACCAACGGGATACTCAAAAGACAAAATTCCTTCTGCAAAGCAAAGTAAATGGCTCACCAGGTAAGATCTCTACAAAAGTAGACACTGCTCAGCTTCAGTTTCAACAGCTAGAACTGGAGATGCAGATGCTTTATTATTAATGAGGATGACCTATATATGTATATATGCATCACTTAAGGGTGTTGATCTGCTAATGATTTTTGATTTGGGGAAACCGCTTTCAGGTTTCTTTCTTAGGATTAATGAATGAAGATAAGAGCTTAATGGTGAACAGAAAGGCTGCAGATCTCTGAGCAGATTCGTCTCTTTCTCTGAGGATGATTCAGAAAACTGGCTGGGCTATGAGGATGACCACAAGCTGACTGCCCGAGGCAGTAGGTCAGGGTGAGAAGTGAGGACAAGAGTTAGTTATCTTTAATGTGTGGAGGCATATTCCTGATCTTCCCCACCCTTGACTGGCTTGGCCACTCACACACTCTCAGGAGCTCCCTCAAGGAAGAGGAGGAGGAAAAGGAGGCCTTTGCTGGCTTCCGTCTCATGAGGAAGAGGTCTGAGGTGAGACACAGATGGATTCTTGCAATACAGCCAAACAATGTGATTCAGAAGATTTAACGAAATCACTTTGTTAAGTGTAGAGTATTATATAAATGTCACTGGATTTAATTTTAATTTTCTGAGTGGCTGGTTCACAAGACTTAGGATGATTAATGTAATAGAGCACTTAATTATGTAAATGAGTACATATAAGGACAACTTTAGGTCATTAGAAATGACTGACATATATACCTTAAGTGATGATTTCATATTCATGTATTTGAGCCTTTCATAAGTATGAGTACCTTATATGCAGGGGTATATTTGTATGTATAGTGTAATTTTAGTCTTGTTTGTGAAGAGCAAAGGGACTTAAAAAACTTTGCAAATAAGAAATTGTAATTATGGAGTTTTAAAAGACTGACTTCAAAATAGAAAAAAAAAAGGCCTTTTATTTTCCTTCTAATCAGAAAAATGTAAAAGCCTATAAAAATGTCCAGTAATTCAGACAAGTATAAGGAGAGAGTTAACAATCATCTATAATTCTATGGTAAAGAGATTATTCCTGTTAACACATAAACATATGGAATCATGTATAAATAAATCATGGGTGGGTGCCTGAGTGGCTCAGTTCGTTAAGTGTCTTCTGTTGGCTCGGGTTATGATCTTGATATCCTGGGATCAAGTCCTGCATCGGGCTCCATGCTCATTGGGGAGTCTGCTTCATCCTCTGCCCCTCACTTCACTCTCGTGCTCATCCTCTCTCTCAAAATAAATAAATAAAATGTTAAAAAAAATCATGGGTATTTTTCCATTTTACTAAGCATAAATCTACATTATAATTTTTTATAATTTATTTTGAAATAATTTCAAACCCTAAAGAACACCATATTTTCTTTGTCCAGAACCCCTTATATTAACATTCTACCACTTTTACTATTCCATTTATCTCTATATGTATACACAGACATATGCACACTCACATGCATATATATCTATCATCATTAGTCTTTTTCTGTCTCATTTGAGAGAAAGTGGCAAACATGATGCTTCATCATTTCTAGACCCTCCAGTGTGTATTTTCTACCTCTACCCTCGAAAAAGGAAATTTTCCCATGTTTCTGCCATATAAGGCAATGAATTAGAAAATTAATATTAAGGCAACACAACCCCTCAAAGCCCAGACCAATTCACATTTCCTCAACTGTTCCCCACATCTCTTTTTCTTCTGATGTAAGACCTAATCCATAATTATGTGTTGCACTTAATTGTTATATCTCTTTATTCCTTCTCTCTGAAACATTTCCTCACTCTTTTCCTGTATTCTATGGCCTCGACATTTTAAATTCTGTAACTGTATTTCATTCTGTATTCATTCTGTATAATGTCTCTCAACCTGGGTCTGTTCAGTGCCTAGAGTCAGGCCATGCATTCTTGGCAGCCACGGAATTCCATTACACCAGGAATGCTGCTAACAGTGCTCCTCACAGGGCATCCCACAGGAGACAGTGTGATGTTGACCCATTCTACCAGTGATGTAAACCTTCATCACCTCATGTGGCAGGCAGACTACTGGCTCCCAAAGATGTTCTAGCCCTAATTCTAGGAACCTGTGAATATGTTGCCTTAAATGGCAAAAAAGATTTTGCAGGTGTATTCGAGGTTAAAGGCACCTCTGTCAGACTTCTGACCTACAGAACTCTGAAGATAACAAATTAGTATTCCTTAAGCCACCAAGTTTACAGTGATTTGTTACAGCAGCAATTGAAAATGAATATACTTGGTCAAAATGTCATTCTTGGGAAGACCTTTCCCTTCTCTTCCCCTCTTCTACCTTTCTCCCTTCCTCCTTCCCTCCCTCCCTCCATTCATCCATCCCTTCCTCTCTTTCTTTCTCTCTTTCTCACCTCCATTACAGTCTTTTTTTTCTTTCTTTCTTACTTTCTTACTTTTTTTGGCTTTCTTGCTTACTTACTTTTTTTTTTTGCTTTCTTTCTGGTCTCTTCTCAGTCTTCATGAAAAATAATGCACGTTCCTGGGAAGTTCCCCAAACATGAGTTGCAGATTTTCCTGCCACATCTTGTACTTACTGCCCACTCTACCTGAGTCGTACCCTCCCCTTCTATCCCTGGCAAACCACCATTTGCCCTTCACAACCAAGGTTAATTCTCTGAATTTTCTCTAAGTCCCCCAGGGTAGATCACTCTCTTCATAGAGGCATTACTGTGCCTTCCCTATTTCTCAACTGTAGTGCTATGTTGACATTCTTTCTTTCTCTTCTTTTTATTCTATCAGATCTTAAGCTCCTTTTCAGAACTTACCTTCAGTGGCTTTGCCTTATGTCCGGGCCATGGTTGACATTGATTGAGTGGATGAGAGACTGCCAAGGACCCTTTCTGAAATCTGCTAAGATTGGTATATCCTCCTAGCAAACTGCATATGTAGTTCATTATAGGAATTATAAGATGTGTTTCACAGAAGAAGAAAATGTTTTTATTTACGCATATCCTGTCCCAGGCAAAAGGTCTAAGTAAAGAGTTGCAGAAAACAAAGTGGGTGAAAAGGAGGCAAATGATACTGAAGTTAGTTATATTTTTTCCATGGGTTATTTAAAGGGTAAATACATTTAATATTACACCCCCCCACCTCCTTTAAGAATAACTTCTGTAGGGACTAGGGTGGCCGATGCAAGTATGCTGCTAATTTCATTTTTTTGTTATGTTGTGGAGGCGTAGGAACAGGGACTATGAGTTCTCCTCATCTAGATTTTAATGTTGAACAGAACCTTCTGGAAGAACCTGAGCACAGGCACCCCTACAGATAAAGGCTTCAAGAAACACAGAGAAGAGTGGTCACAAGAGCATCAAGAACTTACAAAACCAGAATTAATCTGTTAGTGTTGTGATTGCTTATAGAATTATAGAATAAAATAAAATTTTAGAGCTGGAAGAGACTGTCACAAATATTTACAACAGAGCTTTATCCTATCAATTGTAGTGAATTATGGATTGAGCTTCTTGATGGGCTGCCATGTTCCTCTCACCTCGCTTTCCTGGCACTGCCAGCACAGGAGCTTCTGGTAAATCCCTGTTGTAAAAGCTGGAACATGGAGTATTACAGCAGCCTGTTCTGCCCATGCCAAGGGTAGATCCAAAAGATGGAAACAGTGGAACCCTAAGCATAGCCCATCCCCATTCTTAAGGTCTGATAATTTATTTGCATATTATTTACCCCGTGTTTTATTTCAAAAATTATTTCAGGTTGTCTCTGAAAACATATATACAATGCTACAGGATAACTATACAGAAATCAGAGGAAAGGAAAATAAAGTAAAACCAGAGACAAGATTAATACACAAAATTCTTGAAATAACAGCCCAAAGTGGATTTCAGATTTGCCTCTGAGCTTCCTAGCTGGCAAACAAAATGAACCATAGTTGATTATAATGTTTAGAGTGTCTAAAAATGAAAACAAATATTTTTTTCAGTGAAGTATCGCTCTTCCCAATATTGACAGCTGGCAGAAACATCTGTGACTTCTCAAGGAAATCAATGTCCTTAACAATATTTCTGCAATAAATAAAATGGCAAGTTTGGAATGACTTCCTCTTGTTACCTCTGTGTATGCAAATCAAAGGCACAGTGCTGAAGCATAGTTTGTATATGAGGGACCAAAAAGCAACGAAATCTAAAGCATTTTTTTTTCTCTTCAGCTCTTTTAGATAGAAGAGGAAAGAGTGGACTCTACAAATTTACAGTAGTGTTCCTTTGTGCAATATTTCTTAAAGCTAACCTTTTATTTAAAAAAAAGTTCCATGAAGAATTAATAGTATTTTGTATATTTAGAACCCAATCTCCAGGTTACTGATAAGAGGAAGTTTCCTAAATACATTTAGGGAATAAACTAAGAGAAGGGCAAGTTTGACTTTTCTGCATGGAATTTTATAAATATTAGGGAGTCCAACCGGTGGCAACCTCACCCTCACATAGGGGTTGGTAAATCCTTAGGTAGGGCCAGATTTTTCCTAGAAAATTAACTAATTGTTTAACTAATTTAATTAGTTGTTTCACTTCACTATACAGACAGACAATCTAGAAGTATTATGGGATAATACATACCCACAGAATTTTTAACATCATGAATAATGTTACAATTAAGTGATATTGATCATCTGAAGTATCTATTAGAAAACCAAAGATAGCCTAATTTAAAGAACAAATATAAAACACTATTTAATACAAACTAACTAAAATTTAGAGTTTCTGAACTCAAAATGATGGATTTTGGAACAGTTGACGTTCATTTGTTCTTTCTGTTAGTAGGAACAGTTGTCTTGTTTATGACACTAAACTATGTCATCAGTTTCCAGCTATGATGGAATAGCTTGTGGCATACCTATGCTCCCATTGAAAAATCAAAAACCACTAAAAAATTATTTTTGAAGTCTTGCAAAAGCAAATAAGGCTTAAGGTGCTAAGACCCCAGGGAAAAGGAATAGCAGAGGGAGGAATTGACTTCAGTGTCTG